CCTGCACTTGCAGGAGATCTGCCCAACTCCATCCACAACTGCTACGGGAAATCCTGTTCACACACAGCCCATATCTTACAGAAAAGCCGGTCACCCTTTAACCTGAAAACGGTAAAAGCCTTTCAAACCTGCCAGGTGATTTATTTCACTCAGTCCTGCAGCTTTAATAAACAGCCAAAAGGCACGACACGCCGGCTTAGCCCTTAACCCAATACAACCCACGAGGCTACGTCCTGTATTGCGCATATAGGCTTGGCAGCACTTTCGAAAGGGAATCGAGAGGCACGCAGGTATATTCATGACAGGCTGTATTTTTGGCCTTGCGTCAAAGATCCTGCTTCTGGATTACAGCCGAGGATTTCTCCCGTGCAATGCTGTCAAAGAGCAAGCTGGCTCTCCGAAAGGATAAAGCCCCCGCCTGCGAATCCTGCTCCGATTGCAAATTCTCTCACTAAACATTACAGCAGGAGCAGAATTTAGGAAAGACTTCTGAAGAGCATAAGCCAAGGGAGGGCACGGCCAACCGGCAGATCAACCGGACAGGGAAGGTAATTTTCCCAGGTGGAACTTCATAGGAGGCAAGGCGGAATGACACAGAAAGCATGCATTGAAACAAACACAGCAATTTTGACTTCTTAAAACCGGCTTACAAAAAAGGCTCCTTTGCCATCGTAAAACGCACCGGGACCCAGTTTTGCTGCCTCTCGCTGGAAACCGTCAGCCGACGACGCGCCTCAAGAACAACGCTTTGTCTGCCACGAGCATCAGTTTAAGCGCTCAGTCGTTTCAATCCCAGTCTCCGCGCAGCACGCACCCACGTGCGACGATGTCAAAAATGCTAAAAATACAGTAAGGCTATAAATACTCTGACCCCCCCCCCCCACACACACACACACACACTACTCATCCCCAAACTCTGCTCCTTTCTCGTGCTTTGAAACCATTCTTAACATAGACCTCACGACTGAGCGTCTGAAGTCACTTGTCCAAGGTCTTCGCAAAGTCAGCGCAGAACCAAAGTCACAGTTCCCGCCACCCTCGGGTCTCAAGCTCCGACTCTAATAAAGCACTGCACCGGCCAGTATAGCAGGAGACCCACTGGACATTTCCCCAGACCGACAGGGGGCGACTTTCTGAGCCAGTGCAATTTTGGGGACGGTTTCCACCCCCCCCCAACCCAGCACCGGTTCCTTGCAAATAAATGCCCAGGACACGTCAGGAAGTTACTTCACTCCCAGGATTACCTCTTTCCCTTCACATCCCTACACTAGACTGGCTTAAATATAGCTCACTTCCCAGAACTCAAGCTGCAGTCCTTTATACTCAATTCTATAAATACACGCTTTGTATACTGTATGTAGGCCCTCTATATTAAACGCATTCACGGAAGCGTACATCACCCGCTGAAGGGAAAAAAAAAAAGATAAACCTCCCAGCGGCTACAGCACAGAGAGGTGTGAGTTAGTTCAGGTTTACCAGCTGCTGGTTCTTGTGTGTGCCAAGACCAGGTGCGGGATATTTCAAGCTTATCTTACCTTATTTTGAGTACATTTGCATAGACAGATGCCTGAACTCAAAATAGTGCAAAACAGTTTATTACTTCAGCCTAATGTAGGTCCATGCAGTCGACAGGCGGAACACAATCCCACACGATGAGAGTCTTATAGTATTGCTCTGGTCTCTGCACACAGTTGCCTCCCTTTTTAGAATAATTCTTATTAAGAACGCAAGAGGCAGGGTTAGGGTTACCATGGATCTACAAACGCCGTTTCAATTCATAGCGCATCTCCCTATTCATCAACGCCACACCTCCTAATCCCATTTCAACCAAACACGATCCGCGCGCCTGGGTCGAAGTCAACCTGCCCGTGACCGTAACTGCGAAGCGTTTTCCACACAAGCTCAGCCGCTCCAGTGAATGGATCTGGGGCGGGTGAGGGGTCAGCGAGCATGTCTCTCACAGGTGGGTCGGACGCAATCTTGATCAAATCTGCATTTGGCCCCCCCCGGCTGACTGCAGGAAGCGCATGGCGTCCTTCAATTTGGAGCTCTGAGTGAATAGCCAGGTCACCAACAGTAGAGTTTTAAAACTGCATGAAGTTATGCGCACAGCCTCTTGTGACACAGACATTCGCACTGTTCCCATGTGCATCAGAGAATGTACATGTTAATGTTTACCGTCCCAGGCAGGAATTTCTTGTTAATTTAAGCTAGATGTAGTTTGCTTTGACGAGAACTAGGTATCAGATACCCATAGCGCTAGCGATAGGGATTTTATATGCATGCATCTTAAAATGCCATTACAATTAAAAATGGGTCTTGATAGGTTCTATTAACCATACACACACACACATTAAAATGAAAAACTACATCGGGTCACCAGCATACAGGGAAAGAGAGCCGGATTCTGTAAAACACAGAGACACAAACACCGCAGAGCTCTTGGTGTGTGACAACACTAGGTTCAGCTTTTCCTGGGCAGATTTGCATATACAAATGTGTGAAGCAAACATGACACTGCATCTCTACCGCTTTCCTGTTTCACTGGCACAATTGACAGAGGAGTCGAACCATCTCCAAATGGATCGGTCTCCCATGCAACGGTC